TAATAGCACAAAATTTAAGAAAAAAATAATATAATTGTCATAAATGTTTTCTCTTCTTTTTATGTAATACTTTTATATAAGTAATAATGTGAATAAAATTTGTCAAACTATATATTAGAATGATAACTATAAAATTTTATACATTTAAAACTTTAAATATAATCAAGATATACATGTATTTATATATCATCGGATCGGATCGGATTGGATATCCGCTTTCCAAAATTTTAGTATTTGTGATTTGCTTCGATTTTAACGGATATTGAGTTTTAGTATTTGTCTTGCTTCGAAAGTTTATGAATATTCAAAAATTTCGGATCGAATCAAAATGAATAACGAATCGAATCAAATTTAATGAATAAAATGCCCAGCCCTAATATTGATGATTGACAAAGAAATCAGTTATCTCGGCTCAGCGAAAAAGAAGCATTTTGGTAACTTAATGACTCTCTGGCTTCGCTGGTAGGATCAGTTTTATTGATCTAAACTCTGCCTCACTTTGTTTTTATCTTTTTGTCAAAGTGATGCAGATCTTAGATTTGCTTTGTAAATCAAACCTGTCATTAACATTCTTAGCCAAAAAAAGACTAATTTTATAGCCTGCATGTTGTAAGGCTAAACCACATATAATAAGTCTTATGTACGTAAACAAGACATCATAATATAGTCCATTGCTCTATGGGACCACTATAGTCAAAAATATTCGATGACCAAATTACAAATGCATAAAGACATCAATATGTAATATTATCGGAATAAATAAATAACTATGCTTGTTGAAGAAACTGTGTGTCGTTTAATTACTCGTCTTACCATAATCCTTGTATGTTAGTTAGCCTGAGGCGAGTACACCGCAAAAGCTAAACACTATACAAATAATATATCAAATTAGATTTTGATCCGTGCAACTACACGGATGTTTGTTTTTGTTTATAGTTAGTTATATAAATATTTTGTTTTCACTTGTAAATTTGTATATATTATAGTAATCACATATTTACGATATGTATAGTAAATGTTTTTCAAACATAATAATATTATATAATACGTGTTTTAATCAAATAGATTGTTTCATATTTTCTATATTATACATATCTTTCAAACATGTGTTTGTTTCTTCTTCTATATTTTATTGTTTGTTAGATTAGTATTTCATTTTTAGATAAAGTAATATAAATAGAGCTTGATTAAATATTAGTATATTTTAATTTGAAAAGATAATATAAACTTCGAAGAAATTTTTGCTAAAAACTAAACTTATAGCTTCATAAATTAATGTTATAAAGAATTTTATTTAAAAAGAATTTTTTAAACAATTTATTTTTTAAAACAATATAATTTTAAAAATTTACATCGAAATAAATTTATCTAGTATATATATAGCGTGTAAATTTTGTTAGAGTATATAAATATTTCATATTACGAATCTGTGATTTTTGTTAATATATTGTGGATGTATTTAACTATTATTGACATATTTTCTTATAAATAATAGAAGATTTCTAAACTTATATCTATTGACATATTTTACGTGACTAAGTTGGAAGGTGACTTTTTAGTAATAGTTCAATATGTTAATGTAACATGACTTTTTAGTAATAGTTCATTTTTAAAAAAAAATCACACATGAAGTAAAGTCATGACTTCTGTTTTAATATATAAGATTTGCAAATAATCACAAATGCTAGAATTTATGTTTGACGACTTGAAGTAATAGGTACATGTCATAAAACTGAAATAGCAAATTTAAATTTTGAATAATAATTACGGGTTTTTCGTTGGATATGAAACCGATCGAGATTAAGTTTGAACTGAATATTAAAGAGAAAAAAAATCAGAATGTAACATATTTATCAAAATTTTAATAGATAGTTGAACAGAAACTAATGCTAAAACGTCCAAAAAGATCACGCATCAAACATGTTTATTGTAGATTAAGTTGATTTTGAGGACTGCTTAAAACAAAAACAAAAACAAAAATAGAAAAATCGAACATAACTTAAACTTAAACAAAGAAGACATAAACTAGAAAAAAAACATAAAGAGAATTAGGACAAAAAGAGAGAGCTAAATATATGCATGGATGATTTCTCACTTTCATTCTCTCATAAGTTTTATTAATGTTTATTAAAAATTGAAATTTAATTAAATATTAATAACTTTTATGAGATATTCAAGACAAAAACCATTGATAATAATGGTTTTAGACCCATTGAAACAAGTAATGTCTTCTTAGTACAAATATATATTGGTAATAAAATATGATAAAAAAGAAATGAATCAATATTTTATTTATTATAGATATTTGATGATTCTTATCTTAATTCATAAATACTGCATTTCCTAGACATTATTTAAGAAGTGATTTGCACAATCATTTTCACTTAAAAATGTGACATGACATACTAAAAAACAATATATCTTAAAGCAAAATATGAGTATTTAATCACTAATCTTGATTTCTACTTTTGGTAAACATTTTTTAAATATAATAATAACTCATATATCATCATTAAAATAACTATATGTAAGTATAACATTTTGAAATATTATTTTAGTCTCGTAAATAATTATATAATTACTAAACAAAATTTTCAATTTTTTTGTATACAATCCTTTTTAAAATTTATATTTTAATCAATATCATTTTTTTCCTTTTGATATATAAAAATAAAAAATTCTGTTATTTTAATTTGATAATTATATAATTTTCTAATTTTATACAAGTTAACTTAATATATTTTAGCTCAAAGGAATACAAATGTTTTTATCTAAATTATAATTTTAAATATTTACATATTATTCTTAAATATAATTTAAAATAACTTAATTGAGTATTTAAACTAATTTTATGTTTAACTAAATTAAAATTTATATTAAAATATTGATAAAAAATATAAAATATTAACAAATTTCATTTTTAAAAAAATTTAACCTAAAAAGTATTCTGCACATAGTTCATAAAAACACCTAATTTACTTTATACCAGTCTTAGCATTTCTACGGTATTATAGATTTTAAATGGCAGTAATTTTCTTCTTAGAAATAAAGTTTCTGGAGAAAAATATTTAACACTTTTTGGAAACTAGAAATTAATTACTCCTTCCGTTTCAGATTAGTTGTCATTCTGTAGAAAAAAATTAGTTTCAAAATAAGTGTCGTTTTGAAGTTTCGAGGAAAAATTTATTAGCTTTATATGATATTTTATTTTTCTATTGGTTAAAAAGTGGTTATGTGTATATGTAATTGTATTTTTATCTTAAAAATATATAGAATTAAATGTTTCTTTAATCTGTGTGTAAAAACCTAAAATGGCAACTAAAGTGAAACGGAAAGAGTAATATTTATTTATATAAATATCCCTTGTATTGAAAGAGGTCTAAAACATGTTAAATTTAATTCAAAGAAAAAAGATATTGTCACATCAAATGTATCCTCTACTGAGTTTTAATAAAAAAAAAAAGTCTACCTTCTATTCTTTCCAAATAAACTCTATCTTGTGAGTTGTGATGAACCACATAGTCATTCTTTCCTCATACTCTTTGAGTCTGATTGGGAAAAGTGGCGTAATTGGGAAGAATAAAAAAGAGAGTAAATGAGCGAAATAAAAAACACGAGAAAAATAAATGCCAGAGTAAAACTTTACACTGGAAGAAAGAGAAGATAAACTTTACTCTAAAATTTATAATAGGACAAAAACATTTACTCTGTCCAAGCGTAATTGTTTTCAGCTTGATTGGATCAGTGTTAGCGTATTTTGGCGAAATTATTTTTACTTATTACACCAAAAGTGACTTACAGTCAGTCAGAGCCTTTATCTCCTCCCTGTCGAACTAAGGTGAATTTATTCCTCATCTCTTTGTCAATTCTCTTGACTAAAAACATGTTGGGAGAAGGAGCCTCTCCATATCTTCTTATGTTTCTTTCTCACCATATAGTATGTACTGCTGATTGGAATGTATGTCGAACAATAAAGAGGGAATCACTCGCTAATAGTTTGATGATCTTCTCTCACTCTATCGTATACTGATCGTCCATCACACCTTTTATTAACGCTTCCAAAATCTACATCGAGTATGGGCACTCAAAAATCAAATCCTTCCTACTTTCTAACGGTTCATGGCAAAAACCACAAGATACAACACATTAATTTATGTTGCTGTACATGCTAACTCAAATTTGATTACACTAAAAACACATCCAATAGAAGTTAGAAACTTTATAAATTAATAAATATGATAACTTAACAAAAACATTTGTTCTAAGTATAATCGATTCAATGTAACACAAATAGATATAATATAATAAAATATTGATTCTTAAAAAAATTATGTTAATATATAGTATCATTAAAACTATATATTAATAATTTATATAAATACATTTTAGATTAGTACAAATAAACATTATATTTGTTATTTCTATTCATTATAGAATTGTTTATGTATTTTCTTTACACTTTAATACATATTGATAATATTTAATAGAATTATATCTAAAATTACATCTAATTACTATGAATCATGACATATACACAACATAATATAAGAAGTAATATGAAAGTAAAATTTCAAAAATTTAACTAGTGTATATACAGTAAAATCAACTATTTTTATTTTACAAATATATTCCATATAGAAAATTTTGAAAATGAATATTATTAATACTGTATTTGATTTATAATAGTAAGTAATCTTTGATCAGAAAAAATAGTAAGTGATCTATGAAGATTCAATTATCATATTATTTAATGATTTAATTATCACAATGGGTTATATAAGAGTCTTCTGGTCGGAGAAGAAAAAAAAAACTGAAATCTCCCGTCGGCGAGAATTGGCGCGACTCAGAAAAAGGGCTTTCACTGATCCGTCGCCTTCGTAAGGAAAAATTAAAAAAAAAAAAAAACTTTTTGGGTTATTAGTCGTCTCTATAAATTCACAGCTTCTCTCTGACTTTCCAAAATCACTCAAAAACTTTTCAAGACTTTCTCACTCATTAATCTTTTCTCTCACTCTCTCTCTCTTTTCCACCAAGCTACATAGCTCGCAGAAGGCAGGTACTCACTTTCTCTCCCTCTTAATCACTCCTTCATCGGGAATCTTATCCAGTACGTATCTGAGTTTCTGATGATCTGTAAAAAAAGTACAGTTTCTGATTACTCTCAGTGTTCTCCCTCGTTGACTTTTCACCCTCTCTCTCCTCTTTTATTCAGACAAGATTTTTTTAAGTCTTCTGTCTCTTTACTTCTTCCACGACCCAATCTGATTAGATTCCGCTTTGGGGTCTGAATCTGATTATAACCTCTAGAAAAACTACTGGGTTCCTCGCAAAACGGTTGGTTCATGATTCCTAGTCCTAAACTATAAAAGTTCTCCCGAGAAACTTGTCAGAAAAATAAAGTCTTTCTTTTTTCATTTCTAAACTTTCTCTTTCTGGATGCTCAGATACATAAAGAGCTAAAAGGCTTTTTTTTTTTTATAACTTTTCTTAAAAGTTTCTTCTTTCATTATATTATCTCTTTCTCTAGCTATCTGCAAATCTGTCAGAAATCTCTGCCGTCTTTTACTAAATACGCTTTGTCTCCACCTTTACTTAATGAAATTAGGATTTTTAGTGATTTAATACCCCAACTAAAGATTAATCGTAAAAGAAACCCCCAACTAAGATTTCAACGAAACAAACCCTCACCTTTATATCCGTTAACGATTTCACCCCTCCGTAACTGTTCTCGTCAACAGTAGACGTCTCCCGTTAAAACCGAGCGCTGCGTTTTATCGAGAGAGAAAAACGACATCCCTTTCTTTGAGACGTTAAATCGCGAAGGCTAATCCCAAAATCCCCAAATCCGGAAATTAGGGTTCTTCAAAACTGTGAGAAGAGATTGGTCGCATCACATGTAAGTCTCTTTCATGATATTGATTTCTCTACATGATTCTATAAACTCGGTCTTTCACATTTTGTGATTTGGTGTTTGTCTAGATTTAAATTATATTTTTGCTTTGTGAGGTAGAATACGATGGATTTGGGGCGTGGAATTCCAAGGAGGTGTGAATGTGGAGCTGCTACTATCATATTGAAGTCTAATACCGCAAAGAATCCGGAAAGAAGGTTTTATCGATGTGGAGAAATTTCAGGACCTAATCATGTTTTCAAATGGCTTGATGAAGCACATGATGAAGAGTTTGAAGTCGTGGGAAACAAACTGGTGGCGATAGAGCAAGATTTGGCTGATATAAAATCAGACCTTGCTGATATGAAGAAGGACATTAGTGAGATCATTGGCATTATCGAGTGCCTCAGGTTGAAGTATTAGATGTCTCAGCTGTTGTCTTGTTTGTACTACAAAAGTCTCGTTTTAGATGTCTCAGTTGGTGTTTGTTGGAAGTAGTATCAGTTAATGTTTGTTTGAAGTAGTCTAAGTGGTTGTGATATTGTTGTTGTTTATGACTTATTTGACATTAGTCTTGTTGTTTATGAATTTTCTGATCTTGAAAACTATGATGTCTATGACATGAGTTTATGTTAACTAAGGTTTCTTGCACTTGTTGCACATCAAGGGAACCAAAAGTTGTAAAAATTTGTTTTTAAAGACATAATCCATTATCTTAAATACTCCAAATTTGTTACAAAAGATATCAATCATCCTAAGACTTGTTACAAAAGACATAACCAAAAGACAATACTAACAGTCTTGCAACATTAAAAACATATCAAAGTTCATCGGCTGGGACATCAGTTGGTGGTTTTGGGTTCTTGAAAGGTCTTCCACGAGGTAATTTTGGTGGCTTAGGAACCGGATCAAGGTTACATTTCCGCTTATTGTGTCCCGTTTGTTGGCAATTGCTACAAGTCTACAAAACAAAGTTGAAACAAATGAGTGAATCAATGGATAATGGTCAGGATACGTGAGAGAGAGGAAGGCAATTACCATCACAGCATTGGCATGGAAAGATGGAAATTCTGGAACCGGTTTAGGAGCAACAGGAGCGACAACATTGGGTTGCTTGCATGACCGTTTATTATGGCCAGTTTGGAGGCAATTACTACATGTCTGCATTGGAGAAAAGACATTAGTCTTCTGAAATTTTAATGAGTAAGAGGTAGAGAGATAGAAGACATTACCACAGGAGCTTTTTGAGAATTTTGTGATGGTCCATCTTCGCTTGGATCTCTGATTCGGTCGTTGTTTTTGGGTCGTCCTGGCATTATCCTATCTGGAGGCGGCATAACAACAACATCACTATGTGTTTCCCATAACTCCATCCCATTCACGGGAAACAAAAGCGAGCTATAACAAAGCTTCCACTTCTCCATTGAATACCACTCCGAAATAACCGTCTCTGGCAGCTTTGTTTCCTTATACTCAGCCCACATTGCAGATATGATATGGCAACAAGGTATACCACTCACATCATACTCTCGACAAGTGCAAGACGTCTTATCTCTGACATGAACAACGTACTTGTGCTTCCCATGATCAACTTCATAGACGCCTCTTCCATTTGAAAATGGTTGACACCACTTCAAACTACGCTTCCTTTTCTCCATAATAGCTAACGCCTTGGGTGTGATCAATCCTGTCGCACTGTCTATCTCCTTCAGCTTCTGCAAGTTACTAGACATGATATGCCGTCTGATATCCTCTAGCAAAGCGACGACTGGTTTTTCACGAGCTTCTTTTAAAACACCATTATAAGACTCGCTTATGTTGTTTTCAACTGCAGCTGACTTAGTCACATCACTGAAAAATGCCCTGCAAAGAGAAGATAAAAGTCATTAGCTGAGGCCAACTTGAAAATCACATAAACAAAAAAATATTCTACATGATCTCACCTTGACCAATACGAACCAACACATTTTTTAACTTCCTCATAAGCTTCAAGCTTGATGGTCTTCATCTCCTCAAGGTGGCTATGAAAAACGTTTTCATTGTAAGCTCGGGCACACTTCCAAAACACCTTGTGCAGAGGACCCATCTGCTTGTATCTCTTTCGCAAGTTAGCGAAAATGTGTCTTGCACACATTCTGTGTTCCGCATACGGCAAGACGGTTTTGACGGCATATTGAAGTCCTTTTTGCTGATCTGAAGACACGGCCACAGCATTTCCTTCTTCCAATCCTAAATCTGCCCGTAATAATTCCATAAACCACTCCCAATACACCTTATTCTCAACCGGTACAATAGCCCAAGCGATTACATATGTGGCATCATTAGGATCTCTTCCTATTGCGGTTAGCAGTATCCCTTTCATGCGTCCTTTCAAAAAAGTTCCATCTAAATGAAGCACACGACGACATGCACTCTTCCAACCTGTTTTCTGAGACTCAAAACATGTGTAGAATTTCTCGAAAACTCTGTCATTTGTTCCTAATATAACCGTAGAACCAGGATTGGTCTTCCTTAACTCCTCAACATAATCATACAACCTTGTGAACTGCTCTGCGTACTCATCACTTATGATATGTCTCATGATCTGCCTAGCACTTTGACACTTGGTTTTTGTAACCCGAAGACCTTTTAAAGCCAATCTTTGCATAATCTGAACCGCTGATAGCTCCGGGTTATGCCTGAACTCATTTATAAAATCCGCAGCGATCTTTGGTGCGCTATATAGATCAACCACACCTGTAGGATAACACTCGTGAGTTCCTATCAGCGATCTAATAACCATCCTATCTGATTGGCTGTTAATGGAAGCATACAATCTCCATTTGCAACACTCTTGACCACATATTGCAGCTATCTTCTTCTTTTCTGATCTCTTGAAATGTATGTTAACCTTCTCTTTGATAGCATACTTCTCGATGGTCTTCTTACACTTTTCTTTCGACACAAATTCTTGACCTACATAAAGCTCAATTTCTCGATCTCCATCATCATCAGACCCATCACTCTCAACATAATCATTTCTATAAAAATCGCATAACTCATCCTCATTCTCTTGTTCCTCCTCGGCTTCTAAATTACCCACAAGCACATCATCTAAACAAGGATCATCTTCCCTAACGACATAAATATTCAGACTATCCACCTCATCCGAAGATCTAATCATGGCTTCTACATCATTATCAGCTACTAAGTCCACACGATCTGAAACATCACTTGGGAAGTAAGAAAACTTACACATATTTTCTCCATAGCCATTTGTTAAAACAACATCTTTCAGCATCTCAAGGGTTGGTCTTCTGAAATCTACTCGGCAACACTTTGTCCGACCACCATTGTAAGTTCCATCGGATGCCCAATATCCTCCAACCCACAAACGAAAGAAGATAGTCCTATAAACATATGAAATCGATCAGTTTAATTGATCCTCACAAGCAATAACGAATCAAATAATAAAAAGGAACAAGGAGAAGAAACGAAAAAACTAACCTTGGGCTTGGAAAATTCATTGTTCCAACACGATTCTCGCTCTGAAATACAGACGATTCTCGCTCTGAAACGCACACTCAGCAATCACGAGTTCATCGCGAATTCTGCAAATTGAAGATTAGGGTTCGTCGGGATTGAATTTGGGGGAAATTCAGTTTCAACCCCGATAAAACAATGTGTTTTTCCCCTCCTTGCCGTTTTAAAACAAACGTCGTGTTGTTTTGAGAAAACGGTATGTCGTTTTTCTCTCTCGATAAAACGCAGCGCTCGGTTTTAACGGGAGACGTCTACTGTTGACGAGAACAGTTACGGAGGGGTGAAATCGTTAACGGATATAAAGGTGAGGGTTTGTTTCGTTGAAATCTTAGTTGGGGGTTTCTTTTACGATTAATCTTTAGTTGGGGTATTAAATCACTAAAAATCCATGAAATTATTGCCACTCTTGCTCACTTTTTTTTTCTAAATTCAGGATGTTGGAGAAAAAGGTTGAGACTTTCAACATGAACAGAGTCATTGACGAGTTCGATGACATGACAAGAAACGCAGACCAAGTCCAGAAGCAAACCCTCAAAGAGATTCTTGAAAAGAACCAATCCGCTGTCTACTTACAAAACTTTGGTATCAATGCGAACACAACTGACCCTGAAGCTTTCAAGGCATTGGTTCCATTAGTTACTGATCTTGACTTAGAGCCTTACATCAAAAGAATGGTGGACGGTGACACTTCTCCTATTCTCACATCCCGTCCTGTTCCAGCCATCTCCTTAAGGTTTCCTTTCTTACATAACAACATCTTTCTTATAGCCTTATGAATATGATTGATTATGTTTCTTAGAGATTTTGTGTGTTTGTAATCAACAGCTCTGGAACTAGTCAAGGCCGTCCAAAGTTTATTCCTTTCACTGATGAGTTAATGGAGAACACATTGCAACTCTTTCGCACTGCTTTTGCCTTCAGAAACAGGTACACTTTCCTATGATTCATCCATTTACATGAATGACAACTAAAACCTCTGTTCTTTAAATATATAGATTTTTCAATGTTTTTATTGTTTACACATATTGTACTAAGAAAAGACATTAAATCACTATTATAAATGCATCACTTTTGCAATTATTAATCAATAACTTTGAACCTACCCGAAATATCCATATTTTCAAAAATAAAATTGTTTAAAAAAAAAAACATTTTCAATGTAAATGCATTATAAATTTTTTAAAAAATTGTGATTGTTGCAATTATATTGGTTAAAATTGTTAGAGATAGTTAATTACAAAACATAATACATTGACAATAAAAATTTAATTTGTTTTCTTTCGGAAGGGAGAGTGAGTAGTAATTCAATAAACTCAATTTATTTTCTTAAAAGTTTACGATTTCTACAAAGGAAACTTTAAAAAAAATATCTTAGTAGGTTCTGTCTTAAAACATGGTTGATGTTTCATTTTAATACAGAGACTTCCCTATTGATGACAACGGGAGAGCGTTGCAGTTTATCTACAGCAGCAAGCAATACATATCAACAGGAGGTGTCCCTATCGGAACAGCAACCACAAACGTTTACCGTAACCCTAACTTCAAAGCCGGGATGAAGTCTATACAATCTCTCTGTTGTAGTCCCGACGAAGTCATCTTCAGTCCCAATGTCCATCAAGCCTTGTACTGCCATCTCTTATCAGGAATCCTCTTCAGAGACCAAGTCCAATACGTCTTTGCCTCCTTCGCTCACGGTCTTGTCCACGCATTTAGAACCTTTGAACATGTTTGGGAAGAGATCGTGACCGATATTGAAGACGGTGTTCTAAGCAGCCGTATCACCGTCCCATCGGTACGTACGGCAATGGCCAAGCTGCTGAGAGCTCCTAACCCTGAGCTAGCGGAGACGATCCGTACCAAGTGTTTGAGTTTGAGTAACTGGTACGGGTTGATTCCTGCGTTGTTCCCTAATGCGAAGTATGTTTATGGGATCATGACTGGCTCCATGGAGCCTTATGTGAAGAAGCTGAGACATTACGCTGGTGAGCTACCTCTTGTGAGTCATGACTACGGTAGCTCGGAAGGGTGGATTGCTGCTAACGTTAGGCCGACATTGTCTCCAGAGGAAGCTACGTTTGCTGTGGTTCCGAATCTTGGTTACTTTGAGTTTCTCCCTGTGTCGGAAACAGAGGAGAGACCCGTTGGTTTAACTGAAGTCAAGATAGGACAAGAGTACGAGGTTGTCATCACAAACTACGCAGGGTTGTATCGTTACCGCCTTGGAGACGTGGTGAAGATCGTTGGTTTCTACAACAAGACTCCACAGCTCAAGTTCATATGCAGGAGAAACTTGATTCTCTCCATCAACATCGACAAGAACACCGAAAGAGACCTTCAGATGTCTGTAGAATCAGCAGCAAAGAGACTCGCAGAAGAGAAGATTGAAGTCATTGACTTCTCAAGCCACGTTGATGTAACCACAGAGCCAGGACATTACGTTATATACTGGGAGATTTCAGGTGAAACAGAGGATGATGTTCTTCAAGATTGTTGCGACTGTTTAGATAAAGGGTTTATTGATCCTGGATATATGAGTTCAAGAAAGTGTAAGACTATTGGAGCTTTGGAGCTGAGAGTTGTAGAGAGAGGGACTTTCAGAAAGGTTCAAGAACATTTTCTTGGGCTTGGTTCATCGGCTGGACAGTTTAAGATGCCGAGATGTGTGAAGCCAAGTAATGTTAAGGTTCTGCAGATTCTGTGTGACAATGTGGTGAGTAGGTTCTTTAGCACAGCTTTTGAATGAAGTTGTGAAATCAAGGAAAGGTGGTTTTGTGTTGTTTATTGTCTTTATTGTCAAATAGTTATAGATTACTTTCGTTATTTAATTCAGCATAAATAGAAAAAAATTTAAAATAAATAGAAGAAATATGTATCACAGTGGTTTTACTTTGCATTTTGTGCAATGAATGTTTGGGAGATAAATAGATTCTTGATGTGACTTTATATTCATAAAAAAAAGTTCAAGATTCGATTATAAGATGTCTACGGAAACTAAATACGGATAATAGAATAGATTTGATGTGGACTGAAAGAAAGTTTATATAGAATCATGTTTGATACTATATAAATATAAACTATATTCAAGGAACCAAAAATATTATTGTTGAATGAATGTAGAGCGAAGACATCTAATAATGTATGGTACTTATTCAGGAACTATAATCACTTTTTATCAGTATATAATGTTAGAATCATTTAAACGATAAATAAGAGTCAGTGGTGTGTGTTTGTCAGACTCTCAGCAGCTATAAGTGATTATGACATCATTGGTGGGGGGGGGGGGGGACCAAATAATGTCCATGTCTAAAAGCAAATGGTTGGTAATAAAAGTGGACTAACACTAATGTAAATCTAATGTCCATGTCTAAAAGCAAATGATTGGTAATAAAAGTGGACTAACACTAATGTAATTTATAATTAGAACTCTCTAAGACGTATGTTTCTTAAACGTTATCTAATAAGAATCATAAAAAACATGCATGGTCTTAGTGACAAGTTGGTAGCAAGAAGATGATGTAGCCCCTTTTTATCGGACAACGTACCACGCACACAGGTTCATTGCAAGACACTTTTTGACACCAAACTCTTTACTCTTAATTTCATTAAGTTTTCACCAACTGATTGTAATAAAAGTGGACTAACACTAATGTAAATCTTAAAGTGACTTTTTCATAATTAGAACTCTCTAAGACGTATGTTTCTTAAACGTTATCTAATAAGAATCATTAAAAACATGTATGGCCTTTGACCAAAAAAAAAACATGTATGGTCTTAGTGACAAGTTGGTAGCAAGAAAGTTTACAAAAAAAGAAAAAGATGGTAGCAAGAAGATGATGTAGCTCCTTTTTATTGGACAACGTACCACGCACACAGGTTCATTGCATGACACTTTTTGACACCAAACTCTTCACTCTTAATTGCATTAAGTTTTCACCAACTGATTGTAATTCATACAGTAACGTACCAAATCCTATATTTAGAGAAAAAACAAATACAGTATAATTTTTTTTTTCTTTTTAAGAACTAACCTATAATAATAGAAAGACCAATAGTGGAATATGGCATAATGAAAACTTCTAACGCTGAAACACGTACAAAAGGAAAATAATAGTTGGGAATTATTGTAACATACTCCCTCTGTTCCTAAATATAAGATGTTGAGGTAAAAACACACATTAACAAATTTACTTTTTATCTAGAAAATATCAATAAATTATAAATTAATAATATTCAACCAATTACAAAATATATTGTTAAATATGATTGAATATACAATTTTTAATAAAGTAAAATTTACCTAAAAATGAAAAACATTTTATATATTAGATTTCAAAATTTTTTAAAACATCATATATTTGGAACGGAGGGAGTAGACAAGTTGAACAACCACACATGTACATTGTTAGGCTGCTGAGTAGTGAATTTGGTATTAAGTAAATAAATGGACATTAAAAGATAATAAATATATTTCATTGTTTTTTACTAAAAATAGAACTCCTTGCAATTTATTACTCTATCCGTTTCATTTTAGTTGTCGTTTTAGGTTTTTGCACATAGATTAAAAAAATATATTTAATTTTACATATTTTCAAAATAAAAACACAATTACCTATACATCTAAACACATTTTAACGAATAAAAAATAGAAAATATATAAAACTAATAATTTTTGCATCAAAATTATAAAATGACACTTATTTTGAAACGAATTTTTTTTTCAACAACGAAAAATAAACTGAAACGAAAGAAGTACTACATAAAACACACTAAACACGCAAAATCCTATCTGGCCACCAGCTCAGATTTTCAGCTCGTATATAACAACAAACTTGGACCGAGAGACAAAGCTAAGAAAAAGATGAAGAAATTGTTGGAAATCCACATAAAGATGCTCTTCAGTCTTTCATTTATGGCAAATGCAAGACTCCATGAAAGTTATAACTCACAAGACACAGTGTTGTTACTTGTTACCAGTGAAGATGAGTGATGGTTGTGATCACAAAATCTGGGACTGTGGGAGTCCTCTCTACGATTCTTACGAGCTCGTCTCTTTTGCTCACATAATAGAACGCAAACTACTGCCTTTCTCTCCTTTCACTCGGCAGCCTAGTTGGCGTCTACGAGTTCTGATGGATAAAGATAAAGACAAGTGTTCCTCAGAATCCTATGTTTCCAAGACGACCACAAGTTGTATTCATCGGAGGAAAAGTTGGTGGAATAGAAAGAAGAATGAAGAAACGAAGGAATACATCAAGAAGAAGAAGAGGAAAATGTCTTCTTGTATTTCATGGTGGCGTTAGTCTTACAATAACTTGTTTGTCTAATATGTAACCAAGTGTTTTTTTTTTATTGAAGTTGTTTATATAATGAAAAATGTTACTAAGGTTAGTGTGATTCTATGATTCTTTCTTGATCAGTCTCCTTAAGCCTTTCACTGAGGTAGAGTATTAGAACAAGATAGACAAGCTAAAACGGGGGTTGGGGATGCGAGTTCTGGGAAGAGCTGAATGAAGGAATCTCAAGAAACGTTCATGAGACTCCCCCACTGTGTTAAAAACTCTGTTCTTACTCTACAGAGCCTTTATGATCAATGTCGAGAATGTGCAAAATGAAATATTATTATCGGCAATACGAATCCAAAAACACCAAAAACGATCTGTGTATTCGAAAAAAGCTTCCAAAAAGGATTTTAATTATTGAGCTTACACTGCATGAACTAAAATGTTTAAACTCACACTACACAGTTTATTTGTAGCATCTTCTCCCCAAATCTTTTCCTTTTCTTTTTCACTTGTTTGATGAGACACTCTTCTTCTGTTCCCCTTTCGAAACCTGATTACCAAAACATCAAAAAGTCTGACTCCAAATTAAAATCTTTGGATCAATGGTACCAATATATAAAAAAGGTTATATATTTCCAGAAGACAAAGTAAGAAGCTTGACATCACATATTAATGTCTTACTCTTACAAGTAAAAATCAAAACTTTATAGCTTCTAAGATTCAGACCAATTAAAGGGATCACTGATCCACCAACTAAGCCTAAGCAGAACACAGACTTTCCAATCAAATGAATATACAATCCGAATAATAAGATCAAAGGAGAAAACTCAGCACATGAATATTTTCGAGTAATCAAATTCAACAAAAAACTAATCAGTTAATTAAAGATCTAAAGATCCAATTAAGAGAATATCAATATACGTTTTGTACGAGGATGCCAACGGCGACGGCGGCAATTACGGCTCCGCCGAGGATAACCGGTGGACCGGAAAGCAGACTCCACTTACGGTAGATCATCTTCTTCTTCTTCGGAACTTTTTTTTGTTTTGGTCTTCTCCGGCTATCTCTGCAGGATTCTTTCGATGATATCGACTCAAGTCTCGGTTCGGTTTTGGGCTATTAAATCGTTATTGGGCTTGATTTTAGGCTCAAGGCCCATTATACTCATCAGTTCTTTTTTTTTCACCAAAAGTTGAAATGAAGCATTCATTTGAAACCTCAGATAATGATTTGAATTCCTGAAGCATATGTTACAGTTCACAATGCTAAACCTTATATACTAAACTCACTTTTTTATTTGACTGTGTCATCAAGTAAAATCAAACTTCATTGGGCATTCATTCACACAAACCCTATTGAAACAAGTAAGGGTAAAACTCATAGCATCCTAAAAGCCAATCTCTAACCATCGGCAAAAGACTAATATAAACCTTATAACTCACCATCTATAATTACTGCCACAGATAACATTACATTCACCAGTTCAAATGTCAGGACCACAAGTCCTGTCCCAAATCGATGATGTTTTCCAACGAAGAGAAACACGAATCTACAGTTCCCCAATCCTCAACAGTAGATGCTGGACCCGTAGTTACAATCTCGCTGGTGATTCCTGACCCTGATGGAGTCGTAGGAGTCAGATTCCAACCACCAAAATTCTCAATCTCATGGTTAGTAGAGAAAGAATACGTCTTGAAAATATCCTTCTTGTACTCCAAATCTTCAAGACTTATTATCACTTCTTCGGTTTTCGTCGGTTTAATTATGTCTTCTTGTTTCTCTGTAATATCAACTCTTTTTCCTTTTTCGAACATCGAAACAGAGAAGCTCGTGGCCTTCGTCGTTGGGGAAGTACTGTTGTTGTTACAAGTGTGGTTTCCGACATACTTCACTTCGAAAACCGAAGGATCTTTGTCGGATCTCTGGACTTGCTTCTGTGCTGGACACTTCTGCGTGTATCGATGCGTGCATCTGAAGTATCCTCTGTAATAATAACAGAAACAGAGACAAACTTTAGCAAATTCCCATAAAGAAAACAAAATTATAAACTTTTTGAACTTTAGGAATCTCACCTAGGATTCGAGGATCCATGAATCTCTTTTTGTCCGTACTTTCTCCAGCAATATCCATCATCAAGTGAATCCGTTCCGACAAAAACCTTAACTTCCTCTGTCTTCTTGTCCGAAAATTTTCTGCAAACCACAAGAAACAGAAGAATCAGACACATAAATTCTCAAACTTAAACCCAGAAACACAGACAATCTTTAAGAGCTCAATTCACCTCTTTTTAGATATGTTTTTAGAATCCATGTCTTCAATCTCACGGTTTCTCTTAGGGATGTTCTTGTCGTCTTCCTTGAAGCTCAACATGAGAATGGCATTCTGGTAAATGCGGAGGATTTCAGAGATCATGATCTTGCTGGATTCAATTGAAGAAGTGTGTTTGAGATTGCTTATCAATCGTTTAGCAAGATCTCTCCCTTGTTCCAATTCGTTGATCACTAGTTTCTCTTCCATCGCCATTAAAATTAACTTAAGATCCTTTTTTGGAATTCTCTGTGTGTTTCTTTTTTGAGAGTGTTCGATGAAATGTGGGTTTCGTGTGTTTGTGCCGATGAGGGTCTATTTATAGAGATGAGAAGAATCTATTGGTGGTGGATGCCATGTCCTTTCTTGTGCTTACACAATACGTTTTTCTTTTTATTATTATATTATTTCTCCTTTTCTTTTAATTTTAAACGATAAGAAGTTGTGTGGAAAAGACAAGGATCTTGGAGGGAAATTTACAAAGGGTAACTACTATTAGCTTCCTCTGTATCTCTAATATTTTATTCTAACAGTACTCTATTTTAGAATAAAAGTTGATTGATGAACAAAAATAAATAGGTAATAATATATGATATATTTTTTTAAGTTATCAAAAAATCTTATGTTTATACAATATAAAAAATGCATGAAAATAGATATTTTGATAATTATTGTTTTTCATTTTTCTTGAGTAATTTAGGAAAAATTGAGTTCAAATTTCTAAGGATTTTGAAGAAGTTTTAATTTTTAGAAAAAAACATTCTTTTAGTAATAAAATCAATTGTAAATTTCATTAATTTGGCTTCTCCAGTTAAAATTTTAATCTCGATGATTGAGTAAAACATGTTAGTATTATTTTAAACAAGTTGCCGCTATGGTGAAATTGTTAGACACGCTGCTCTTAGGAAGTAGTGCTAGAGCATCTCGGTTCGAATCCGAGTAACGGCATAAGATCTTATAAAAGAGATATTAGAAATTTTATAATCAATATATAGAGTAAACTTATTTCAATTTATTATAAAATAAAAATTAGAATACATTTAAACACTTTATTCCAGACTTTATTTTCCTTTTGAAACTTCAACTCTGTTTTAGAGTGAAAAATATAGTGAAGTTTGAGATGTTCTAAATATATAAAATTGTTAAAGTTATCTTACAATGCAACAAAACAAAGCAATAGTATTTTATCCATTTACCTGAAATTAAAATTTTATTTGTATCTATAAGATATGCTTTCGATTAATAATCTTTCTATAATTTATAAAGCATCTTATTATATAATAGAGATCCTATTTGGTGAAAGTCTCACTCAAGTTTAGCTAATCTTTGTGTAAAGTGTTTCTAGTTTGATGGCTACAAAATTTCAGCCGAGTAAACCAATAAACAAAACATCTTCAAAGAGACCTCCTAGTCCTACCGCGTACGAACCCGGTTGAATGTGTTTTCTTTTCTTCCCGGTGACGTGGGGGGCTTTGATGTCACTCCATTTTTGATCAACTTTCTTATAATTTTACATTTCAGTGATATCATACATTGATTATTTAACTAATTATGTTTTTATTAGGAGTCAAAGATGGAGATTACATGACCCTAAAAGCAAATGGAGAATCTATGGATCACATCAAACCAACTGCAGTGTGGATTAGAGAATAATGTCCCTTTCCATTTCACACATTTGACAGCGACGTATTATCATTATCATTATCATTGTCATCATCGATGTGGTTTAATTCCATACCACGATTATCCATCATCCATGTGTTATAAATTCACCAATGTATATGATTTGAATACTGCATCGAATTAGTTGAAAGATATATAGAACTGAACAAAAGGATACACAACAGTTGAAAGAAGTTAGAATAATGTTTGAATACTTGTTTAAAATTGCAAAGTAAGTTCTAATTGTTATCGTAGATCAAAGCAGTAATTTTTTTTTAAGTTGTAAATTTATGGAGAATAACCCATTATAATTTCTGCTTAGCTTTACCCTTTATCATTTAAACGTTTTTCTTGTAGAACAAACTCTTTGTGTATGTGAAAGTTATACATTTTTGTATTGATAAGACCATTCACCCCTTTTGTTTATGTAAATGATACGTTATTGGCTATGGCTTTATGCATTCGGCATGTTCATCGTACATAATGTTTGTGTACAATATATAGTTTATACCATGAATACTGGATAATATTAATAATATCCACATTACTGTATAGGTTTCTCGGTTATCAATAAACCTTGGAGCTTTTTGACTCTAAACTAATTATTTTTGGAGTTACTCTTAGGTTCACTATCCAATAGAATTATATTATTTATATTTGATATATTTAAAACAAAAAACAAAAAAATAAAATCTTTTTAAGTTATATTATGTTTTTAAAAATAACAAAATAAATAAAAATAATAATAATTAATAAAAACAAAAATAATTTTTTTTAAAGAAAATATTTTAACACTGAACTCTAAACTCTAATCCTAACCCCTAAACTTTAATCCTAAACCCTAAACCATAAACACTAAACCCTAAATAATAATCGTAAATCCTAAATCATTGGGTAAATCATAAACACTACTTTTTTAAAACACTATAAAATTTATCTAAATGTTTATAATTTACTCAGGGGTTTAGGATTAGAGTTTAGGGTTTAGTGCTAAAATATTTTTTTTTTAAAGAATTATTTTCGTTTTATTAATTATTATTTTTATTTATTTTTGTATTTTTATTTTTAAAAACATAATGTAACTTAATAAGATTAAAAAAAAAAAAAAAAAAAACTTAATAAGATTTTGTTTCCTTTTTAAAAAGATATCAAATATGAAATAATGTAATTCTATTGCAAGGTGAACTTAGAGATCCACCTTAAACTCAAGAATAAATCTTATTTTGAAGTTAGTGATTAGAGGCCACATTTCGGTATATGTTTCTCGGTTATCAATAAACCTTGGACCCATTTGACTCTAAACTAATTATTTTTGGAAGTTAGTGATTAGAGGCTACTGACAAAGCTTCACTAAATTAAAACTTCAAAAGGTTGTTTGAATTTCCAACGCGTCTGTTTTTCTCTTGACGCGTCTGATTAAATGTATAGTTTATGTTTCACTAAAAAAAGTAACCAGACCTAGCAGTAGCATATACGTGCACATGGCCTTCTCGTGGTGGATTAGTAACTTTATTCAAGATTATAAAATAATTAATCAAATACAAAATGGACGATATGATTAGAGGTTTACTTACTTAACCTGTGGATTCTTGTTACTTAATAACTAATGCCTAATTAACGACTACATAACTAGTGGTTTGGAACTGTCTCAAAATGGTTCCAAGTTATATGTTTTGTGTTTAAATACGGAACATTACCCTGTTAATGCATACATCCACCAGAACTGTAATGTTTATAACTTATAAGCTTAATTAGCAACGAAATTACATGACTGGTTCATATTTATAAATCTGAGTAGAAGATATTGACAACTTTTAAAAATATATATTTAACCATATGTTAATGTTCGTTAAACTAACGCATCTTCAACTTGTGAGGGAAAAACACACACATAAAAAAAATATATATATATGTACTAGATTTGAGTAGCAGTATGTCCTGGTCAAGGTACTGACACTTAGAGAAAAACAATCCCAAGTCACTCAAAATCAAATCTATACTTATTCATTTAAAAAAAAGTTTCATAAATATTTTTTTAATTTTTTTTGTTAAAAAAGGTTTACATCGGAAGTAATTTGGACGATCTAACCTGCATATTCATAAACAGCTTTTGAACTTGTCTCAAAATGGTTCCTAGTTCCTAGTTTTTTAACTTTTATTGATACTTTTTCAAACTACAGCCAGATCACAAGGTCAGCAACCTTGGATACGTCAACCTAGGTGTTGGTTAAAATGCAACATGGATGATTCTTTCATCAGTGAAAATTTGCTAAATCAAGCTGGGTGGCTATAGATATATTAAATAATAATAAAATGCACTTTCGGCTATACAATTGGATATGGAAGATCAAATGGTGGTGTCATAAGTTTGAGGACATACGCATTCAATAGACGAAGAGGGAGGCAAAGAAAGTAGTAGAGAAATTGGGAACTTAAAGACCGCAAGGATCTTTGTTTTTTTTCCACTGCTGTATACCAATTTGTGTTTCTAATCTTCTTCATGAGGATTATACAAGTTTAATAAGAACTATGCAGGTATTAAAAAATAGAATGATCTGTTAGAATTTTGACAAAAGAAAAGAGACTGATCTGGTAAGATAAAATAACAATGGGCTAAGCTATACATGTTTATATTTTATCTTATAATTGTTTGGTTCCATAAAATGCAAAGAAAATATGTAGCACTACTAAACAACCTATTTTCATGTTTGATAAAGTTTAGTGTCAAAATTACTACTAAACAACCTATTTTCATGTTTGATAAAGTAAATATGTAGCACTAATTTAATTTAATTTAATTGGTTTTTACTATGTAGAATGTTTAAAAAAATATAATATTTTTCTTTTTGGCCAAAGAAAATATAATTTTATCATTCAAATATAATTTCAGTGTTAGTCAAGCCAAGTGCGAATGCAAAAGTCTCGTTAGATGATAAGCACGTGTGAAAGCATCTTAACACTTTCATTGTATTTGTCATTTAGATTAAAGTGGTCGTATTTTCAACATGGTCATGATCAACAACATAATCTCCATGGCTACATAATGATATATAATTTTTGAAAAATCCAACAACTTTTATATTTTTGGACAACTTTATCTAAAAGACAAAGACAATCAAACATCTTATATACATATATGATAATCAATCCCAGAATACTTGCAGAATATTAAATGATGTAAAGAATGAGAGATCATAGAATTTTGGGAAACAATTTGTACAGTAGTGTACGTATTACAAATATATCTTTGATTCATATGACAATGACAATATTGAAAGGAACGCCAAAAAAAGTTACCTCTGGCATTTTGGTCGATAATAAAAAAACCTTGATTGGTTTAAAACAACATTTGCATTTTATATTCGACTTCGCCATTGGATTGTTCTTTTCTTTATGGGAAATAAACGTTCAAGCAGCTGCAATATACCTACACCTAGAACGTCCTGATTGGTTTGAATCATATATCCAAACGCCATACATGTTTACTGCTGTAAAACACCCACTCCCTATTATTATCTACACTATTAAAAACGAATATTTCCCAAAATTCTACTTCAGAAATTGTTTGGACTTATTCATTTGTTAGTACAATCTATTAAATACAACTGAATATTAT